CGCCCGGCACTAGCCTATTAGTGATAGGGAAGTCCTATTCTTATTCCTATGCGACGATGCAAGATCTGTGGAAAAGTATGGGAGGAGTGGGGGAGAATGGCTGTCTCATCCTCCAAATTCTTCCCATGATTTTTCAGGTGATGACCATCGCATTTTCTTGGCATTGCCGCTAGACAATTATATGGCCACACAAGAAATAGTCAGCTGAGGAATAAACAGGCGATTTAGATGGAGGTGGTAGAGGACCAGACGTCCCCTGTTTTCAAACAAAATTTTTCATATAAGCAGACTTTGTGGCTTGTTATTGTCTTGTTGGGAAGCAACCGCAAGTTGTAGTTATGCCTTTTTTAATCACCATGTTCTAATGACTTAGCAAAGCTTTCTATAGTTCTTAAATTTCTTAAACTTGGTGTAACTTATTTGACTGCCTTATCGCAAAGTGATTCACACCACCTTTCTAGATGTGAATGGACGAGCTGCTTTCTGTGACATATAGGCAGTAAATCTGGAAGACTCAGTTCCTGTTTTTTTTTAAAGCAGGCAGAATTTCCGCACTGGATTGCTGTCCCATATTTTTTTTTGTTAAATTCGTTGGTCGGTTTGAGCTCTCTTATCGCCTTTTCACAATCGAGTTTATAGAAACCACAATAACGCGTAAGTAGTAAACTCCCCACACATTTTCTCTTTTTCATTGTATTGTAGCCATTATGTCTTCTTTGGCGCCATTGGTTGCCCACAGGAGTGAATATTGTAAAATATTTTTGTTGATGATACGTAGAATATATTGGGGCCGAGTGTGCGTAATCTTTGTTCCGAAGGCTTCCATATAATTAATAAAAGCCCTTACTACGAAGGGGTGTTCAAATCATTTGGGGACCTTCGTGCTTTTGATAGGCGACCACGAACAGTCTTAGTTCTCCATTGCATTCGCAAGTCAATCTCAGCGGCGTTTTACAAATGCCCCCAAAGTGGCTTTGACAAAAGATTAGTCAGTTCAGCTGAACCATGGAAGGACAGCCTATTTCTCTTCTTGGTCGGTACTTAAAGCTATCCCGGCACCTATTGTGCGTTATATTTTTGAAATGCTGAATACTTTGGTTCCTGACTGATCGTGTTACATTCAACGTACCCACAAACAGAATTGTCTCCTGTGCTGTTTGACGGCGAGTTAGGTCTCAAGCGTGTGTGCGGGATCTGACGTCTCAAGCATTGGCTTAATGTTTACGTAGCTAAATTCTACCTTTGACTCAGAAAAAAATCACCACAACCGAGATTATCACTGACTGACGGACTCACGGTTGGTCAGGTTCAAAGTGTTTGCATCATTCCAATGCCCGATTTCTCTGATCAGAGGTCTTATTACTGTGAAAAGGTTGCTTAAGGTCCTCTGTAAGAGTTGATGCTTGTGGATCTTACATTTTTCAAGTTACTTCGCCGTGGTACACTGTTGTGTGCGCACTACCACCGACGAATGATAATGTAGACTTGCCCGCAGCAGGTGTCGACTTAGCACTTTTGTTGGACCATATGGTGCCTACTTCTGCAAGGAGTAACGTCACTGTAGCCTCCCTTTTTAAACTTGTAAAATCGAAAGTCCTAATTTGACTTGAACGCTCCCTCACCTCGGAAAATTATAGAAGGGGGCAAATGTTTGTAAAATAATTCATACTGCCTGATTTAACTTGTAAGTGTTTAAACGCTGTTTCATTATAGCTGGAGAAGTTTGAGGATCCGATGCCTATTCTACCGTTAATTTTCTTATTGAAGTAGAGTCATCTGGGGTCTTCTACTTTAATGAAAACGACTCACTGGCCCCCCAATCGTTGCTAGAGCGGGCAGAGCTCGGTCCAACGCCGGCAGAGGTCCTCACGGAAGAAGCACCGAAGCACAATCGACGTGCCTCCTCCTCGCTGTCCTCCGGTCCGATGCCTGAGTCGGAGGTCGGAGAAGACGTCTTTGAGTCGGCTCTTCTCGAGCAAGTGCGTCTACAATCACTTTTACCTCACATCAACTCCTCTCTTCTCTCCAAAACAAACATGAATTATAATAGATTATTGTCTGTCGCCCACTTTTCTCCACTAATCAGATAATTATAATTGCGGTTTTTACCGATTTTCAATAAGCTGTATATAATACCTTTCTTGTTTTTATTCCCTTTTCCTCAGGCTTTTATGCACAAAAGTATCAGCGGGAAAAGAAAATGTAGATTAATCACTAATTGTAGCGTTTCTCTTTTACTATGTCAAGAAGGATAAATTCCATATCTTACATTTATTTTCTCATGCTCTCTGCTACTGCTCATCGGTTGAGCTCACGTGCACTAGTAAAGTGGCTTAAGTCAAAATTATGAATGTTATTTTAAGACCCTAATGGGATGGCTTTCTTCCCCTCCATTTGATCAATATGGCTAAAACTGACCTTCATGAGTACGACTTGGCTTTATAAACTGATTTATCGCTTGCGCGATCCAGGCGAGATTTGCCGTTTTACGTCCTCTTGGTTTGGCCGGGTCTTTGAAGTACATCTGAAAATCAAGTTACCACACTAACGGATCAATTGAGGACGCCCTTAGGCTAAAGTAATACAAAATGAACCTCATAGCAGAATGGTAAACATTCCATTTTTTCATCAGTGTAGGCGCCTCTTGTTTAGATGAGCTTGAGAATGAGTGCTATTTTTGTAGTGGTTGAACAGTACAAATTTGTTAAGTGTGCACATGCTCAGCTGTTCTTTCTTTGTAGAATCATTTCTTATGTGGAACTGCATGCTACACGCACTTAGAGCTCCTGTTCATAAATTATATATGTCTAGATGAAAGAGGTGGTCACTCTTCATTTCTATGAGTTTCATACTCTCGTTTGCACCGTAATTTGATTTATAGCATTCATTTTACGGGAGTTTCTTTTGATGCCTAGATCGTCATAATGTAGTAGCGTACAGCTGCGACCGAGAGGTGATGCGTCTACCGTAAGTGTTTGCTGTCGGAAAATGATTTAGTCCGGCTTATGGACTGTTAGTTGCACCTGGGTTTAAACTGTCGACAATGCTTTGATATGGTGCCTAGTCGTCTACTCTCTTCTTTCATGTGCACAAACTGAATAGTGTGGTTTTTTGAAAAATTACATTACCCTAGGTGTCCCCGTGACCTCGGTAACCATTGTCGTAGTAATTTCGTGTGACTAGAGCAAAATAGGCAGAATTATTGTCCACCTTCACTTTGCACTATCAGCACTTTCCTTGACTCCTCCTTCCCCCCTCCCCCAAGCAGAGACTATCAAGTCCCGCTTCAGCCCCAGATGTCGCATCATCTATCTCAATGCCTCAGGGCAATGCCTCTAGCTCGTTGGAGATGAGCACTTCGGGCACACTGGGTGCAGAACCAACCCCTATTCAGCAATCCCCGACGAAGGTGCAGACAGATCAGGAGGATGAGGTGAAGACGGAGAAGACCTCTCTGAAGCTGAACGGTTCTCTCACCGAAGTGCGGATTGAAGTACCCGCTGGTGGCACCGGCGTTGCTCCTATTCTGTCAAAATTGCGTGTCGATGAGGAATCGATAGCCACCACTACTAGCTCAGAGATTGAAGTCATTTCCACATGCACTTCTGTCTGCGAGGACTCAATCCCCCACCTCAACGTGTGAGATTCTTTCATCGATGCGGTTTAGGATGTTAATTCCTTGGTGATTTTGCGTTTTTAGATGGGTGTGAGGATGAGTTTACCCATGTTGCTGAAATCTGTCTCAATTTTAAATTTCTAGCTAATATGCTAATTGAGTTCATGTTGCATGCTGGAGTTATCCATAAAATTATTCTGAGATCGGGCCAGTTTTTTTTCCCACTTTTGAAAGTGTACTAAATCTGTATTGGCTTCCTCATAAGCACAGGCAGTATGAATGACATGAGTAGAGCCGAAATGGAGTCCAGCAAGAACCTTGCTGCCTAATTCCATTGAGATTCTGGCTTCTAGTTATGCGAGGTTGTTACCAGATGGCGTTATTCTATGGATTCACTTTGAATTGCATTCAAATAATGCGAGATTTAATGTCCTAGTTCCCTGTGAAGGCGTTATCAGGTGCCTCTCCTCAATGTATAGGGGGCCTCTACTGCTTTGTAATATGCACTGGTGAATAGCAGAACGTATGAAATTATATTCAGGTGCACCAACCTTCTAAATTCCACTGTTGGGGAGCTTCGTGTGACTTATTGCCACTGAGTCATGTAATTGGTACCTCACCATGGGGAAATCCCTTAATTTTATTCAATTTACCATTTCATTTTCGATACATGAGGCTCAAGCTCTTTTTCACCGAAGCGAAATAGGATTGTTTGTTAAATTCTACTGTGTAGACGATTGCTGGGAGGTGGTTTCGCCTAGTTTTGACACATTCTTACTTTTCTCTCCCTTTTTTACTTAGCATTCTGAACCGTTCGTTCATCGGTACGGGTGGTTTCGGTAAGTTCGTTGACTTATTCATCACAATTAGTCTCATCAACAATGTAAAAGGTAGTTTTAGCAAAGAAAAGCATCTTTGGTTTTTGAGGAAACCGTTCTGGCTACTAAGATTCCTATGACTGCTACAGTTCTAAACTGGTATTTTCTAGAACAAATGGCAGTGAAGGCGGTGCAGATGAATTAATAACTCACTTGAGATGTGTTTTCCTTCAAATTCCTCGATAATCTTGTACCTCTACGTCTAGCCATCGAACGGCAGGCATGATACTGAAATATTCTCCTAGGTTCCGTTAACATAGTCTTAAGGTACACTGGATTAGTACTGGGTTCGTGGTCAAAATGTAGATATTTCCAGTATGGCAAGAGGAACGCGTGTGTTAAATCTAAATGGCCTCTTACAAAAACAATTTTTTCACATTTTCGAAGTGGATATTGCAGTGGATTACAATTATGATTAGTTTATTGCACCTTTCGTGTAATGTCTCAATTAGCAGAGTAACCTTAATTTCAAGGACCCATTTGTTCTGCTTTAGATAATCGAACTTCCCCTTCCCTTTCAGACGCCACCGCCAGTCAAGATTTTCTCCATCAGGTAGAAAGAACTTTTTTTTTCGAATATTTTCCTGACCAATTATTTAGCTACCTGAAGTGTTTAAACTTTTCCTACGCTATTTATACAACTTTCGAGCGCAATTCATTATTCGTGTCTGGATAAATTCGTCTAGTAACTACCATTTTTGTTGCATTTTCATGATGACAGGGTCTAGCGAAAGAAAGTTGTTTTCTACTACTGAAAGATCTCTTTGACTATCTTCACAGAAATGAAACGCAAAAGCAACATCAACTCTAACCGACCAATTCTCTGATTAAACATTAAACAACCAAGTTGGTTTGCACGTCTTTTCCTGATAAAAAGGTTGAAATGGGTACAAGTGCAATTTGCTGTTTCTAACGGGCCACTAACCAGGTGCAAAATTTATTGTTGAAAGATTTAATCTCTGGAAGCGGGCAAAATCCAATCCTGTTTACGTTTTACTATTTCCCATATAATCGTATGATTGTCTATTACCAAGGCCACTAGTAGGCCGGTGCTGGATA